CTGTGATGCCACGGCACTCTACCGAGGGCGACAGCTTGAGGCTCTGTCTCTAAAAAAAAAAAAGAGAGAGAGAGAGAGAGATTCTCTTGCCTCAGCCTCCCAAGTGTGGCGTCAAAGCTCATGGCATCCTCAAACTCTTAGGCTTAAGAGATTCTCTTGCCTCAGCCTCCCAAGTAGCTAGAACTACAGGCACCTGCCACAATGCCCAGCTGTTTTTTTTGTTGTTGCAATTGTCATTGTTTAGCTGGCCTGGGCTGTATTCAAACCCGCCAGCCTGGGTGTATGTGGCTGGTGACCTACTCACTTAGCTATGGGTGCTTGAGATGGGATCTTGTTATTGCTCATGCTGGTCTTGAACTCCTGAGTCCAAGCAATCCACCTGCCTTAGCCTCCCTTAGTGCTAGGATTATAGGTATGAGCCACTGTGCCCAGCCCCAGCAGGATCTTTATCATGTGAGGACATGGTTCCTGGGCTCCCATGTGCTACTGATTGGTTGTTTTGATGTCTGGTTCCAGGGAACAAAGAATTGGCCTGGGAATGCCTTGGAGAAGGAGGTAGAAAGCATAGGGGCCCATCTTAATGCTTATAGCACCCGGGAGCACACTGCCTACTATATCAAGGCATTGTCCAAGGATCTGCCAAAAGGTAACACCTGGAAGAGGGAGCAAGGGCAGAAGGGAGGAACTCCAGGGGAGTAAAGGACAGGCTCCTGGGATCCTCTGGCCTAGTACAGAATTGGAGTACCCATAGGGTATGGTCTTGCAGTACAGCAAGCAGGAGAGGACAGCCGGAGATCCAGACCTGAGGATTTTGTGTTGCAGTTGGTCTCTAGTGGTCCATCTGGCACCTAAACATGTCCTACTTGCATCTAGTTGTGGAACTCCTGGGTGACATTGTACAGAACTGCAGCCTGGAAGACTCACAGATTGAGAAGGAACGTGACGTGATCCTGAGGGAGATGCAGGAAAACGATGCATCTATGCGGGACGTGGTCTTTGACTACCTGCATGCCACAGCATTCCAGGGCACACCACTAGCCCAGGCTGTGGAAGGGCCCAGTGAAAATGTCAGGTGAGTCGCCTGGGCTCGAGGCCCCTTCCAGATCATGTTTTTAGTTGGCTGGCTGCCAATATTGTTGATTTTTTTTTTTTTTTTTAAATTCACGCAATTGGAGCTGGACGCAGTGGCTCATGCCTATAATCCTGGCACTCTGGGAGGCCGAGGCAGGGGGATTGTTCAGTTCATAGGTGCCTCTGTAGTCCCTGTAGCTGCCTCCTATTTGGGAGGCTGAGGCAAGAGAATCGCTTAAGCCCAAGAGTTTGAGGTTGCTGTGAGCTATGACACCACAGTACTCTACCAAGGGCAATGAAATAAAACTCTGTCTCAAAAAAAAAAGGCAAACAAACATGCAAATGGAGATGGTTTCATGTATTTCCTTGTGGTCCTGTGAGTCTTTTTAAATGATTTTGTGGCCTTCATTTGAATTTTGGGTTTTATTTTAGGGTGTGTTTCCATGTGTGTCCTGATACTCCAAAGGAGGGAGCATCTGGGTATCCCATCCATGTGGCTTCTTGTCCCCCGGTTAGGGATAGTCTGTGAGAGTTCTGATGTTGCCTCTTGAGAGTCTTACCATATCAGCTTGTGCTCTCCTGAGAGAGGACCATGAGCCTGTCCATGAGGCAGAGGCAGGGCCAGATGAGGGAGGCCATCTGGGCTCTGGAGGGGTGGGTAGCAGAGAAGGGGGAAGGGGATTGAGGGATGTGCTAGGGCCCGTTCTTTAGAAATGCCATGCCTCTCCTCATTTCTACCTTCTCAGCCCCATTTGTGCAACCCAACTCACTCTAATTTGGGAGAGGCGTTGACCCATTGGCCGAATGTCTTCTAGGAAACTGTCTCGTGCAGACTTGACTGAGTACCTCAGCAGGCATTACAAGGCACCTCGAATAGTGCTGGCAGCAGCTGGAGGTGAGTGATGGATCAATGGAAGCCCTGGGTATGTGGACGCCAACCTTAGTTATCAGAGCCCAGATTTCCTAGTTAGGGCATAGGGAATCTTCCACCCAAGGGGATTTTGTTCCTACCCTGTCCTTGATGAGAGTGACCATCCACCTATGCTCTCTGAGGTAGGATAGGATTCTACCACATTGCCACTACCTTGACCACTGCCTAGGGTCACCTAGGGATGCTTTTCCTCTTTTCCTAGCCCCATCTTGTCCTAGGATAATTAGTGGGCTAGAAGGGAGGATATGAGCCCCTGGACTTGTTCCTGTGGCCTTGCCATTGGTTGAACTAGACATTAGATATGTGATGATACACACTTGATGGACTGGGAAGACTGGGAATTGCCTTGAAGGCACAGAATGGTAGTTTTTTTGTGTGTTTGTTTTTGAGGTAAGAGTCTTACCCTGGGTAGAGAGCCATGGCATTATAGCTCACAATAAGCTCAAATTCTTAGACTCAAGGGATCCTCTTGCCTCAGCCTCCTGAGTAGCTAGGACTATAGGGCCTGGCCAGTTTTCCTAATTTTAGTAGAGAGGAGGTCTTGCTGTTGCTTAGGCTGGTGTTGAACTCCTGAGCTGGGCAGTCTACCTGCCTCAGTCTCCCAGAGTGCTAGGATTACAGGCATGAGCCACTGCACCGGCCCCAGAATGGTAGAGATTTTTTTTTTTTTTTGAGACAGAGCCTCAAGCTGTGGCCCTGGGTAGAGTGCTGTGGCATCACAGCTCATAGCAACCTTCAACTCCTGGGCTCAAGCGAGTCTCCTGCCTCCGCCTCCCAAGTAGCTGGGACTACAGGCACCCACCACAACACCTGGCTATTTTTTGGTTGCAGCTGTCATTGTTGTTTGGCGGGCCGGGCTGGATTCGAACCTACCACCTTAGGTGTAGGCGCCTTAGCCACTTGAGCCACAGGTGCCGAGCTAATGGTAGAGATTTTAATGGGGAACTCAAGAGTTGTAGGGTGGAGTGGCCTTTTTAAAGCACCTATCATTTGAACAGAGGCTTAAAGGGTGGTGTTATTTAGGTGGCGTGCAGGGGGCCTGAGCAGAACCGAAGACCAGTGTCTTGGCCTGATGTATGTCTTAAGTTTTCTTCTACTACTGTGTGACACCTGAGTGGGGGCAGGATGGCTAGGGAGAGGCTATGGCAAGTCTCTAGAGAGAGCTGGCAGGACGAAGAGAAAGTGGACGGAAACCCAGTGGGAGTCTGGACGTGGGTTGGAGAGTGGGGCCAAGAATGCTTCCCAGCTCATGGCCATAGCAGTTGAGTGGGTAAGAAAGACCAATGGGAAGAGCATAACTGGGACTTTGGAACCAGGGAACTTGGGGAGTTAGAGCAGTGTGAACTACAGATACCTCAGGTTTTGTCAAGTCTTGATAAGGCTTGAGCTCATGGGAGGAAAGAATAAAAGGCCAAGGCAGCTGATAGGCTGTTGCTCTGAGGAGGCTGGCCAATGCCACAGTGTTCACCGATTATGGTGCCAGAGGGCTCCTCTTGTGGAGGTGAGGCATGGTCCAGCAAGGGGTCCTGAGGGCATGAGTTTGTAACTTGACTTGCCACCCCTACAGAGCCAGCAGCCAGATCTACTTCATGTAGGTCTAGAGGGACAAGGCAGGCTCTGGGCCCAGGGAGCATCAGTTTTATGTCTGATGTACGTAAGATGCTGCTTCTAGAATGAGAATTAACATTTGTTTCACATGGCAACCCATTTTTAAGCTTAGAGTGCTGCCTGTCTCCTGTGCCTGAGGTCATGGGAACTATTTGGACCTGAGGTGCCTGCCCTGCCTATGAGACAGGGTCTGTCTGTGGAGGATCCTCTTCCTCACCCTGATGTTTCCTTCTGGAGTCTCCTGCTAAGAGAGGTCATGGAGGTTCTCTACCTGTCTGTGATTCCCTCTACACCTGCGCCTTAGACCCCAGCTGACCAGTAACACCAGTATCTGTGTTGGCAGGGGTAGAGCATCAGCAGCTGTTAAACCTTGCGCAGAAGCACTTGAGCAATGTCTCTATGACATACGCAGAAGATGCCGTACCTGCTCTTACTCCGTGTCGCTTCACTGGCAGCGAGGTGCGTTGCCTGCTGGGCAGGCTGGGGTGGTGCTCTCAATCGGGGGCCTATTGGAGGACCCTTGTGGGTATGGTCATCCTGGTTACTCCAGAGATGCCTCAGGAGTTGGTAAGGGGACCTGTGGCTGCTGCCTCCCAAGCACATATGTTCGTATGCATGTGCACACTCCACCTACACCTGCCATACATTCTGTTCTCCAGGTAGTCTGGCTGTCACTCAGCCTGTTGTATACTGTTTCAGATCCGTCACCGTGATGATGCTCTACCTTTGGCTCATGTGGCTATTGCAGTAGAAGGACCTGGCTGGGCCAACCCAGACAACGTCGCCCTCCAAGTGGCCAATGCCATCATTGGCCACTATGACTGCACTTATGGTGGTGGTGTGGTGAGTGCCAAGAATGAGTGTGGGACCTTGCCTTGGGGAAGAGTTTGCTGGGGTTGTGTGCTCCTATGCTGTGGGATGAGGGTGTGGGCCACAGACAAGAAGGTGGGTGCTAACCACCTTTGCCTCTGGCAGCATATGTCCAGCCCACTGGCTTCAGTTGCTGCTGCCAAGAAGCTGTGCCAGAGTTTCCAGACCTTCAACATCTGCTACGCGGAGACTGGGTTGCTGGGTGCACACTTTGTCTGTGACCGAATGAGTATTGATGACATGATGTTCTTCCTGCAAGGCCAGTGGTGAGTGCCAGCCTGGTACTGCTGGGTGGATGGGGGCTTTGACCAGGATAGTGGGAGGCTAAGAAACAACAGTGTCCCAGAATGAGCACCACCACACCCCTGCTCTGCTTTAGGATGCGCCTGTGCACCAGTGCCACGGAGAGTGAGGTGGTGCGGGGCAAAAACATCCTCAGAAATGCCCTGATATCTCATCTGGATGGTGAGTCTTGCAGCACTGTGGGGATGGGTAGAGTGTATCCTGGCAATGCCAACAGTGATAGCCTTAGTGTAACCACCACTTCTAAGCAGGATTGGAAGGGAAAACACTGAAGGTCATGCCATATGTACCCCTACCAACTCATGCTTGGAGATGCAGGTGGAGATGGACCACATCAGTAGCCCATCACTATAGGAACAGGTGGTTGTAAAAGAGAGGGCTGTGATCTGGGATCTGAGCCAGGTCAGAGAGGTCCTTTTCAACTTGAGGCTGGAGGGAGGTTGGGTACCTGTGGGTCCAGGATTGGACCTCTAATCCTTTCCCTACCCTCAAAGGCACTACTCCTGTGTGTGAGGACATTGGACGGAGCCTCCTGACCTATGGACGCCGTATCCCCCTGGCCGAGTGGGAAAGCCGGATTGCAGTAAGATGGGCCCCTAAGGAAAGGGTCTGGAGTCTTGGACTGGTAGATTTCTGGGGAGTGGAGAATTGAAGCCTCACAAAAAAGAGACCGATCCTGTAGGCATCTCTGGTGCAGCCGTCACCCCTGAGGGCAGGTTAGAGGCACTGATGGCTGTGGGGAAGGGTGGGGCCCATGGGGAGTCTACAGCAGCGAAGGAGAACCCTGCTGCTCCCCTCCTCCCCCGCTTTTTTTTAAGACAGTGTCTCACTTTGTTGCCCTGGGTAAAGTGCCATAGCATCATAACTTACAGCAATCTCAAACTCTGGGGCTCTGATTCGCTTGCCTCAGCCTCCCTAGTAGCTGGGACTGCAGGCACCCAGCATAATACCCTAGCTATTTTTAGAGATGGAATCTCACTCTTGGCTCAGGCTGGTCTTGAACTTCTGAGCTCCAGTTATCCACCCACTTTGGCCTCCTAGAGTGTTAGGATTACAGGAGTGAGCCACTGCACCTGGCTTGCTTTTCCCCTTTAGGGTGAGGGGATGGCATGGGAGATCTTGGTCAGCTGGAAAACATTGACTGGCCAAGGGAGTGCCCAGGTACCTGTCAGCCAGCATGCCCTCTGCTTCACTCTGCAGGAGGTGGATGCCAGTGTGGTGCGTGAGGTCTGTTCCAAATACTTCTATGACCAGTGTCCAGCAGTGGCTGGATTTGGTGAGTGGCCTACAAAGTCAGCTCCTTGTCCTTTTCCTCAGGCTATTCTCTTGGTTTCCCCTTGTGCCTCTATTCCCCCACACCCAGCCTACACTGAAAGCAAGTTAAGGCCCACAAGAAGCTCTCCCCAGAAACCTGGCTGCCCTGCCAGGGAGTTCTTGCTCACAAAACTTGTCCCAGCAGCTCCCTAAGTCCTTGCCAAGGTGCCTCCATTAGTCCCCCACACCCACCAGGTAACGGGCACCTCTGCATGTGGGGTGGGACTCCCAGGGCCTGAGCGTGAAGAGACAGGCTCAGCACCCCGGGGGAATGTTCTTTTCCTTCTTTCCACTCAGGCCTGTCTTGTGCTGCTGGGCAACAGCTCTGAGCTGGGTGCGGCACAGGGCCAGGTGTCCCTGTACAGGCCAGGTACCCCACCCTGACGCCCCACCTATCCCCGCAGGCCCCATTGAGCAGCTCCCAGACTACAACCGGATCCGTAGTGGCATGTTCTGGCTGCGCTTCTAGGCAGGATGCCTGTGCAGGCAGGAAGGCGTGGCTGGGGCTCATGGTTCCCGCACCACAAACATACCACTCTGGCTCCTCAAACTTGTGCTACAGGTTAACACCAATAAAGTCCTCTGTTGAGAATTGGCGTTGTCTGTCTTTTGGCATTGACACGAAATCCACTGGGCAGTAGATGGGGGAGCAAGGACTTCTTCCAGTTCAGCATCCCCTGGATCCTTCATCCTTCCCACAGGCTGATGTGTTCTCAGCTGGGGGCAAGTGTGGGAGCTGCAGCATGGAGGCCGGAAGCCTTTGATGCCTGCAGGGAGCTGAGCCCAGATGTTTCCAGTCAGCCACATAGGGGAACATTCCTCAGCTAGTCTGTCCCAAGAGTGGGGCATGAGTGTCCATAGGAACTGCAAACCCAGCCTTTGCCCTGGTAGGTCCCAGCCTGGGAACACTGGGGGTTCAGGTAGGAAACACCTCAGTGTGGATCCTGTGTGGTTGTCCTTAGGAGGTCCCTAGTCTACTGGGATAGAGCAAGAGAGGCCAAAGGCTGTCCCTGAGGATGCCTCTTTTATCTGTTTACTGTAGATTCTGGAGGAGGATAGCCTGAGGCATAGAGTTCCCATTTGGTTTAACTGCTGCCTGGACAGGCAAAGCAAGAATCCTTTGCCTATGCTGACTCAGGCTCCAAGAATAGTCCTGAGCTCAGTGGGGCCCAAGCCCCCTCCCTTGACTAGGTCTGTCCCAGGCAAGTCCTGAGCTGCTGGCTCAGTGATCCCCTCCCCATGTTCCTGAGACAGCCAAGACCTGGTGGAGCTCTCAGCTGCCTAGTCCCTCTGTTAACTCCCTTTGGGCCCTGTTCCATAGGCAGATGGGCCCCTCTTCCTCCACCTTCCAGTTCTTCCAGGTTCCCAGGGAGCCCAGCTCTACTTTGAGGAAGTTGCTGTCTGGCAGCTGTGAGGAGAGTCCTAGGACAAGGTTCATGTAGTAGAGGACCACTCAGAAGTCCCCTAGCATCCTTTCCTAGAAGCAGCTGAAACAATCCTTGTATCACTCTCATTCTGCCCCAGTGCTTTTCACCGTTTTCTGCCACAAATTGTCTTATGAGGAGACAATTGTCAAGACACTTCTATACCCCAGAACTAGGGCACTTGACAGATCCTCTTACTGTGTCACTGGCTAGAGAGAAGCTGCTAGATAGTGTGGAACCCTGACAGGCTCAACCCTTGGTTGTTCCTAGAGATGCAGCACCCAGGCATGGGAGACAAGTGCCAAGTTTGGCACCCTAAGTTGGAGTTCCTGGAGGACAGGGCTTAATTTCTCTTCTAAGCCCATGCCTGACCCTGAAAGGCTACAAGTATGCTGGATACGGGAAGAGTTCATGTTGCTGAGAGTGATCTGGTCTTGACCTACTTTGTGCACCAGGCCAAGTACCCTTTGCTGGGGTACTTGTTGAGAATGTGCATTGGAGGTTACTGTGAAGAGAAGTGAGGTGGTCAGAGCTGAGATTTGGTACTGGAACTCTCAGCCTGCATTTCTGTGGCAGAGCAGAGGTCATGGCCATAGGAAGAACTAGAGTAGGCTGTAGGGGCACAACAGGCCAGCGCTCCCTGGGGAGGAGTGAGCTAGAGGAAGATGATTTGCCATGGTTCTGGTGAAGACTTGGAGGTATCCAAAACAGTGGGATATATAGGGCTGGAACCTCAAAAATAGGCCATGGTTTAAGACAAATGCAGCATCATCTGCATCTGACTGAAACTGAGGAAGGAAATAAATGCTCAGGGAAGTATAGGAGAGAAAAGGACAATCTCTGGAGGCCCCACTGATAGAGTTGCAGGTGGACACTGGCCTTGGGCTGTGCCCGAGGCTATGTGCCTAACAGGAGGCTGGCCCCAGGGACCTTAGGGCCACACCCCTGATTGTGAGCCTGTAGGAGGTCTAGACATGCATCCTTCCCAACCTTGCTTTTCCCTTACCAACAGCTTCTCTCAGCACCCTTTTAGTGACCCCTCACAGCAGCCCCTCCTTCCTTTTTTTTTGGGGGGGGGTCTTTTTTGGAGAGTCTTATTATGTCGCCCTTGGTAGAGTGCTATGGCATCACAGCTCACAGCAACCTCAAACTCTTGGGCTTAAGCAATTCTCTTGCTTCAGCCTCCCAAGTAGCTGGGACTACAGGCACCCACCACAATGCCAGGCTATTTTTTAGTTGTAATTGTTGTTGTTTGGCAGGCCCAGGCTGGGTTCAAACCTGCCAGCTCTGGTGTATGTGGCTGGCACCCTAGCCTCTGAGCTACAGGTGTCAAGCCAGCCCTTCCTTTGTTTTGGGGGCATCTCAGATCTGATGAGGTTGGCATGAACACGTACCCTCTCCGCTGAGCCTTTTGACTCCCCTAAAGGCTGGACTTGCCTGTGCGCACTCTGCCCTGCTGTCACCCACCCTTACTGTGCAGGAGGTGACAGTCTTAGGGGGCAGTGGCTGCCTCTGTGATGAGAGCATGCCTGGTTTTCTGTTGCCCTCACCTGGAGCATACTTTGCAGGGGTAGGGATTCCTGGAACATGGCTGAGGAAACCCTGACCTTAGAAAAAGGGTCTAGATCCTATGGGGTCCCAGCACTATGTCCCAGATAGTTGGGAATGGGGCAATAGAGGCAGCTCTAGCCTTCCTGGGCAATGGGAAAACAGAATGGATGTTCCTTATTGCCCCCAGCTCTAGCCATACTAGGCATACTAGGGTGCTTTCAGGCAGTGGAGGAGTCTAGTGGAGGGTAATGTATTTAATTTTTAAAAATTATAGAACACTTCATGAATTTACATGTCATTCTTATGCAGGGACCATGCTAATCTTCTCTGTATAATTTCAATTTTAGTATATAAGCTGCTGGAGCAAGTGTGGGGTGGGGGTGGAGGAGGCAAATTTAACAGTGCTGTCCCTATATCTCCCCACTTAGCTGGTGGATCCCAGGGAAGGCTGCAAGTCTAGGCATATTAGAAGGGACCCAGTGGCAGTGGTGAGTGTAGATGTTGCTTTCTGGGCTACCTAGAATTACCCAGGACTGGCAGGGGAAGAAAAAGCAGTAGGGCACAAATGAGGGCCTGCTTTTCTTGGGAGTGTCTTTCTGCTTTAGTGTCACCTACCTAATGAAGATACATGCATATTCAAATACTAACCTCCTCAGGACAGTGGCCTGGCCCTGACATGGGGGGTTGTGTGTTGAGGAGGGACTGTTCATAGTTACAGACCCCCATCAAGGGAGAGGGGTAGGAAGTCAGCTGGGTTTAATGGGAGAGAGATGAGGCAGGGGCAGTAATGAAGGGGGAGCTATAGGTTCCATCCGAGCAGTGAGGAAAGGAGGGAGGGGCCCAGGGCGAGCTCTGGGCCCAATGGGGGAGATGGGTGGAATGGGTCTACAGGAAGAGCAGATTGAAGGAGGAGATGCCTGTGGGCCAGAATGAAGGCATGTAGGGGGGATCTGGTCTGGGTTATGGACAGTGGAGCATGAGCAGGAGGGGGTGAGTTTCTGAGGGATGAGCTGTCACTGTGGGTGGTCCCACCCTCCACACATGGACAGCCCCCCTCCCTGCAGGCACAGCTGGAAGGCAACTGTCTGGGACTGGTTTAAGACTTAGCAAGGGATATGGGACTTGTATCTATGAGCATGACACAGATTCTCCCTTCCTCCTGGCACACCCCTCCAAAAGTGGGGTGCATTACTTGGATCCAGCCCAACAGGGTCTTGGTTTCCCTAGGATGGACTGGGAGTCCTTCATTTGCTGGGGGTTGCTCCATCTATCAATGGAAGTGGGGTAGGGTACAGGAGGCCCACCAGACAGGGATGGCTGAATCACAGGAATGGCCGTCAGCGCCTGAGGGCTTGTCTAGGCACCCCCAGGATTGGAGGTGAGTCATCACCAGCTGCAACCTCCCCCTACCACAATGCTGCTGCCTCTTTGGTTTGCAGAAACCTGTCCCTATTTCAGCCTCCAGCAGTCATTTCACTAGTCACTCTGTCACTGACTGACCTACAGCAACCAAGATCTGTGACCCCACATGGAGTTGGGGTGCTCCCTCAGCAGTCTGGGAGAAACTTCTGGGGGTTTCCCAGAAGGCACCGAAGTAGGGGACGGGGAGCTTTACACTTAAGTGCGTCATATCATCTGTCCAGGGGAGGGGTGAGGGGGGGGCGACCTCTCGGGTATGTGGGTGAGGGCGGGCGTCTGGGTCCCCGCCCGACGCTCCGCCCCCTGGGATCAGGGACTTTTCTCTGCTTTGCCCGTGGGACTGCAGCGGCGGCGGCGGGAGCTGGCGGACTTGCAGGCAAGATACGAACTCTGGGTAGAGGGGCGCTGGGCTCGGACCCCCCCCAAAGCCACGGGGGCCAAGGGACAGGGGGAGTCCTGGCTGACTGTTTCTACCACCCAGAATGTGGCTGCGGATCCTGATGGTGGTGCTTTGCGCCTGGATCCTGGCGGAGGCGCCCCGAGTGCGGGCCCAGCACAGGGAGAGAGGTGGGCATGGCTAGGAAAAGCCCAGTCTGGGTCACTGCACCCTGCCACCCACCGCTCTACTAGGCCTTCATACCCGACACTCCCTCTATCTCCACGACCCTCGCGGATTCCTCCAAACTCTCCTCGGAGTCCCTGAACTTGCAGCAATCCCTCTGGGTTCCCTAAGCCGCCTCCTGTCCTGTTCAGACCCAAATTCTGGCTCCTTGAATGCGTGCTGGGTCCCCTACCTTATGCCACTGTGCACCGGCCCCTAGCGGCTGACCTCAGTCCCAGGCACACACCCATGCCAGCGGGTCTCCCTCCGCTCTATGCCCCAAGCCTCTGGGAGAGTCTCCTTTGGGGTCCACCGGCTCCTTCCCAGGCCCACGGCCCACGTCGGGGACTTAGCCAGTTTTCATAAGTAGATGGGGCCTGCTCTCCATCCATCCCCGCAGGCCTGGGGACCACAGAAGTGGGGAGGGGCGGGTGGACTTCCAGAGGAGATGATGATCTCTCCTCCTGGTCCCAGTGACCTGCACCCGCCTTTACGCCGCTGACATCGTTTTCCTACTCGACGGCTCCTCGTCCATTGGCCGGAGCAATTTCCGAGAAGTCCGCGGCTTCCTGGAAGGGCTGGTGCTGCCTTTCTCGGCTGCAGCCAGTGCACAGGGTGTGCGCTTTGCCGCAGTGCAGTACAGTGATGACCCGCGGTGAGTAGGGGCCTTGGTTACTGGAGATCCAGAAATCACAGCAACTCCCCTTCCACAGGTCAGAGAGCCCAGAAGCCCCAGGACAGGTTCTTCCAGAAACAGGTTTTGAGGACCCCTTATCTAGGACCTCCCCTGGCGACAGTGGTAGGAATTCCCTAGGAAGAGCCCTCAACACCCAGAAAGACCTTCAGGCTTGTACCCTGCCACAGACAGGGAGGCTGTGTTTTCTGATCTGGAGAAGGGGAACCTAGGAGGGGTCCAGGGACCCCAGATGCCCCTGTGCCTGTTAGACACTTCCTATTTTAGCATCCTAACCCTTTCAGCGTCTCCATTACCAGAAAGACTCCTTGTCTGGCCAACATCTACCTTCTTACAACTGGGCCCTTCCTCCTGCAAGTATTTAATTCACCAGCTATTCTGTCCCCTTAGACTATGAGCCTCAGGGCTCCTGTAGACCTATCTAGGCCCAGCCACAGATGTCACACAAAGGAGGACCTGGGGAGTTTAACTTGGGGGCTTCAGATGTGAGCGGACAGAAATTACAGACCCAAGAAACCCTCAAGAGGGCTTGATACACACAACTATGACTGAAAGCCAGAGTCAGAAGAGGTACTGACCCCTAGCCTGTTGCTACTTCCTCCTCCCAACAGGACAGAGTTTGGCCTGGATGCACATGGCTCTGGGGGTGATGTGATTCGTGCCATCCGTGAGCTCAGCTACAAGGGGGGCAACACTCGCACAGGGGCTGCAATTCTCCATGTGGCCGACCATGTCTTCCTGCCTCATCTGGTCCGACCTGGTGTCCCCAAGGTGATCCCTAGCCCTACCTGGCCTCCCAAGGTGATCCCAAATTAAAGGTCTAAGGCAGTCCTGACTTGACCCCTGCCTCTGCCCCAGGTCTGCATCCTAATCACAGATGGGAAGTCTCAGGATCTGGTGGACACAGCTGCCCAAAGGCTGAAGGCACAAGATGTCAAGCTGTTTGCTGTGGGTGAGTATGGAGTGGAGGTAATAGGTCAGCTGGGGTGAGTGGGCAACTGAGTTCTTATTGGGCATCACCTCAGGAATCAAGAATGCTGACCCTGAGGAGCTGAAGAGAGTTGCCTCACAGCCCACTAGTGATTTCTTCTTCTTCATCAATGACTTTGGCATCTTGAGAACACTACTGCCCCTCGTTTCCCGGAGAGTGTGCACAACTGCTGGTGGTGTGCCTGTGACCCTGCCTCGTGAGTTCCTTCCCAAATTGTGTACCCTGACCTGGACCAAACCCCAGCCCCAACCTGGGAGTGCTGATTCTATCCTATGTTATCTTGACCCCTGACCCCAACCCTGTTCTGTAAGTGCTGACCCTGATCCTCCTGCCTGATTGCCTGGTTCCCCTATTCCCAGCTGATGACTCAACCTCTGGTCCACGGGACTTAGTGCTGTCTGAGCCAGGTAGTCAATCCTTGAGAGTACAGTGGACAGCAGCCAGTGGCCCTGTGACTGGTTACAAAGTTCAGTACACTCCTCTGACAGGGCTGGGACAGCCAGTCTCCAGTGAGCGGCAAGAGGTAGGATGTGAGAAGTGATAGGTGGCTGGTTGGGAATTTGGCTGGGCAAGATAAGGTGACCTTTGACCCTGGGCAGGTGAACGTCCCAGCTGGTGAGACCAGCGTGCGGCTGCAGGGTCTCCGGCCACTGACTGAGTACCAAGTGACTGTGGTTGCCCTCTACACCAATAGCATTGGGGAGACCGTGAGCGGGACAGCTCAGACCAGTGAGCAATTTTGTCAACCTCTGAGTCCCTTCACTTAACTTCCCAGTAGCCCCCCCACTAATTCCACTAATTCCTGGTGGGACCTTCCCCCAGTTGCACTGGAGGGGCCGGAGCTGACCATCCAGAACACTACAGCCCACAGCCTCCTGGTGGCCTGGCGGAGTGTGCCAGGTGCCACTGGTTACCGTGTGACATGGCAGGTCCTTGGTGGTGAGTGAGAGGAGTGGGCTAAGGGGAGCCCCTGCAGCACAGACAAGATTATAGATTCCTGAGTCTACAAGGCCCACTGATCCCTCTGTGCTCCCCGATGCAGGTGGGGCCACAAAGCAGCAGGAGCTGGGCCCTGGGCAGGCATCAGTGTTGCTGCGTGACCTAGATCCTGGCACTGACTATGAGGTGACTGTGAGCACCATGTTTGGCCATAGTGTGGGGCCTGCCACTTCCCTGACTGCCCGCACTGGTGAGAAGGCTGGGCACTTTCTTGAGGTTGGGATGAGCAGGCAGGGTAGGGCACAGAGGCCACTGACAGCCCATGTGCTCTGGGCAGACACCTCCGTTGAACAGACCCTGCGTCCGGTCATATTGGGCCCCACATCCATCATCCTTTCCTGGAACTTTGTGCCTGAGGCCCGTGGTTACCGGTTGGAGTGGAGGCGTGAGAGTGGTCAGTGCAGGTGCAAGGGGTGGGCAGGCAAGGTTTGGGGCTTGATCTCAGTTGGCCTGACCCTGTTATCTTGACAGGCTTGGAGCCACCACAGAAAGTGGTGCTGCCCTCTACTGTGACCCGCTACCAGTTGGATGGGCTGCAGCCAGGCACTGAGTATCGTCTCACACTCTACACTCTGCTGGAGGGCCATGAGGTGGCCACCCCTGCAACAGTGGTCCCCACTGGTGAGGGCTTGGTGGGCCTGGACAAGTGAGGACAGTTTAGGG